GGGGGGGGGGGGGCTCGAGCTGACCTCTTCTTTGTAGTGGTATGCAGGCCGTTCGCTGAAGTCCTCCCCCAGCCGGATGTATCCCCCGTTGATGTGCGAGTTAGTCCCCTCACGGCCGCTGACCACCACACGATGGGGCGCGTTGGCAATGTCGTCAGCTGACACAGATACACACATACACACACACGTATACACCAACACACACACCAACAGATACATACAGGAACCACGCGACATTCACCTGAGATGGTGAACGAGATTGCTGTGACTTTGGGATCGGCGACGAATCCATCAGAGCCGCCGGCGAAGATATGCCAGGGCGATGACACGTCGGCAGGGGTGGCTGACGACGCGTCCTCACAGTCTGAGATGGACACCACAGACACCACACATGTCAAAGGCAGAACTCATGTGCAGAGAACAAGGTAGATACCTATCCCTCCCCTGGCTGGCTGCCTGGCTGCCTGCCCTTACAAGCGTAGAAGGCTCGGCCGCCGACCTTGGTGCCAATGCGCCACACACCTGAGACCACCAATCGCTCGTCCATCCATCAGCAGGCACACACCAACAACACACACAGACCCTCTGTGTGTGTACCGTCTTCATCCTTGTAGATGTAGAGCTGGTCCCCTTTGCCGTATGTGGGGTGGCCGTGGAGGTCGCCCCTCAGCTTGCGGTACGCCCCGTTAATGAACGAGTTCACTCCCTCACGACCACTCAGGCCGACCCTTTCTGTCCAACCACACACACACACCCGGGCGTCCCTGGTGTCCATCGTCCTTCTGTGTGCGGCTGCGTGTGCGTCCCCTTGCCCCCTTCACCTCCAGAGGGGTCCGGCAGGAGCTTCTCGCTGACACGGAATTTTTGACTCATCGTATCGATGTGCTACTGCCTCGCGATGGCCGAGGTGCTGCTGGGCTTCCTGTGGATGCGGGAGAGGCCTCAAAAATTGTTGAGGAAATGGTGAATGCGGCCCGCAGATGGATAACCACAGCTTAGCTTATTCGGTTGGTCCGTAACAAAAATCACACAAAAATGACTTGATGTGCCGGCTAAGCTCGCTGACCGAGCGTTGACCCAACGGCTGAGCTGAGCTTCACGCGCCGATGAATGGACGTGCTTCAGTCAAACTTACTCCATGCAGCCTGTCCCGTTGCAAAGCACGGACACACACACTCGCTACTGCGCACCGGCGCACACACACGAAGCCAAACGCCGTTTTGGCGTATGCGTGTTTGTCCGAGCTGCCACACATGCAGATCTATGGCACAGATGCCTGGCTTGCTTGTCTGCCTGTTTGTCTCCTGAGAAGGCAAAAAACGCCCCCAACCATCACCACCATGACTAGAAAAGCATGCATCAAAGCGCTTCGCGTCCACACGCCCCACCCTACCCGGCGCTCAGCGCTCATCTCTCATCTCATCATTCAGTCGCCGGCGATGATGCCGTTGTCGTGCATATGATGGCGCACCAGAGCCATCCGCGGCATGTCCCCCTCCTGCACCATCTTCCTCAGGTAGGCGTTGCGCCACCCCACCCACATGAAGCCGCACGACGAGCACAGCGACAGCAGCAGCAGCACGCCGCAGAGAGCCTGCCAGATCTCCAGGCTCCACCCGAAGAGCCCCAGCCCCTCGCGGGTGCCGATGATCTGCTGGGGCGGCGGGGCGTTGCGGGCGAGAGGGATGAGGATCTTGGCCAGCCGTGCGCCGCCCAGCACCATTCTTTCGAGAGACGTGTGCTGCGCTTGGGCCACGTAGGCGTCAGAGGGATAGTAGGGCTGCCGCTTCTCGAGAGTGCTGAAGTCAAATTCTGAGGAACAGACAGACAGACAGACAGCCTGAGGGGCCGTAGAGTACAGGCACACCATACACACCTGAGTAGACGAATTTGGCGCATATCTTGTACGACTCGTCCAGCACCTCTCGGAAGCCGACCTTATCAGCATGCTTCGACTTCCACAGCTCAGGAAACATCGCCAAGAGACGAACGGCCTGCCACCGAAACATGACACGTGGCGACGTTCCTCATGTGTGTGTGTGTCGGTGTGGTGTCTGACCTCATCTTCCATGTCAGACGGACCAAGCGTCGGCCAATTGCCCTCGAGCGCCCCGCCGCCCAAATCCCAGAAGAGGTGCAGCTCGCCAACGTGCTCATGGCCAGCCGTGTGGTTCAAGATCACAGGTATCTGATCGTCGCACAGATCCTAGGGTGGATGGAGGGCGTGTGGGGGTCGGTGACTGTGTACTTCGTTGCCGCCCGCGTCGCCATGAGGGTACGGCTTGGCAAACATCGTGCAGCTGTGGAGCGGCTGGTGGATGTCGCCATACACGTGGAGCAGCAACCTGCACACACAGAGGCAGAGGCACGGCGTCCATCCATCCATCGAAGCGTCAGTCCTGTGACCTGAGAAAGAGGTTCCATGAGAGCGCCGTGCCCTCGTTCTGCTTTTTGCCGAAGTTGATCATGGTGTGGTTGGCCCTCTCTAGCAGCCACAGGGCGTCATGGGTGCCACGTCGGAAGTGCGGGATCGGCAGATCCTGCGGATTGTAAGGCTTATCTGAGTAATGCCATTCGTTGAACACCTGCACACACACAATAACGACACACAAAGCGACACACAGATCCCTCCCTCCCACCCTCCCTCGTTGTGTGCGCACCTCAATAGCATCATATCTCAGTAGGCCTCGGCACCAGGGCCGCCCCTGCTCACACTTGATGTGGTCGGCCCACACAGGGGCGGTGGTCAGTCGGCTCAAGCCAGGGTACTGCTCCTCCCACACGTACAGCACCTTCTCGAGGGCCTTGACCAGCGAACTGCCTCCATGGCTTTTGAGCAGGATGTGCCGCGCGATGGCCCCGATGAGCATGTGCCCCTGCAAACACGCACATGCAAGAGAGGAAGAGAATGAAAGCATTCCATGAGGGTCAGGCTGAGCGGCCTTGCGTACCTCATCGCCCCACGCCATGGCGGCATCAATTAGCAGCACCGACACCAAAAGCAGCGGAAGCACACCCATCTTGAAAGGATGGCGCCTTCAAGCGGAGGAAGATCTGCTCTCTCCCTCTTCGGCGCATCACGCGAGCTTGAAGCAATCAGTCCTCCCTGACTCACGAGGCAGTGGCTGTCTGCTCTGCCGTGGGAGCCTGCAGCAATGCGTTCATCAAGATCTGGCCTCTGTCAGGTGGTCGAGGGTCTCCGCACCTCGTCTCGTGACGGACTGATGCGTCAGAGGAAAGCCGCGAGGCAGCGGGTGGCCTCAATCGCGGCCTCTCAGGGCGTCGTGGCGATGAATTTGTTGGACATGGGGAGGAGGAGTGCCGCCATCGAGCAGATGGCGACGACGCAGGCGATGAGGATGGGTGTCGATTCGATGAACAGACGGCCGTTCTTCAGCTCTGCAGAGGTGTGCGCGGAGAAAGAGGACGTTCATGCATCGTTTTGTGTGCATTGTGGCCCCTTGCAGGCAGCTCCATCGAGTGATTTTCTCGTCTGTCCCTACTGTGAGTTCAGACACACATCCTTTTCGTTCTTCTGCCAAGTAGGCACGGCACGGCACGGCGCTGTCTGTCGAGTTGACGGATGGTGTGTTGTGGTGGTGATGGCGTGTCAGGGTTGCGGTGCGCTGCAGCCGTCGCCAGAGGAGGCACAAGTCGGCCACTACGAGCTGCTCGACTGGTGGGTGGTGGGACGGCTGTGCTGATTCATGCTTTCAGGCTGCCGTGTATTGTGTGCTTTGTCTGCCTTTCTGTCTGCCCGCCTGTTTGTCTGTCTGGTCCAGCGATGTGGGCTTCGATGTGGACACTGCCAGGCTGAGCAAAACCTACAAGACCCTGCAGCAGTCCCTCCACCCTGACAAATACGCGCACAAGACCAAAGAGAACGTGCCGGTACCCACGCCCATCCCTCCGATGAGCATCTGCACACAGACGACAGACAGACAGATTGGCTGTGTGTGTTGTGTTTGTGTGTGTTGTGGTTGGTTGATGTGTGAATCTATCAGGACGTGCAGGCATCTGCCGACCGTGCGTCCGCCCGAGTGACCGAGGCCTATCGCACGCTGCTCGACCCGCTCAAAAGAGCGCAATACCTATTGAGGAAGAAATTCAACATCAGCGTACGTGACACCCTGCACACACAGCACAGCACAGCACAGCACAGCACACCCATCATTGATTGAGTCTATGAGTGTGTGTGACAGGTGTTGGAGGAGGAGCAGCGGGTGAATGACCCAGAGCTGCTGGAAGAAGTCATGGAGGTAGGTAGGGACCTACACGAACAAGACACACCGGGCTATGCTATCAGTCCTGCCTGTCTGTGTGCCCTAATGACCATCAGATTCAGGAGCGGCTGGAAGAGGACCCAAACACCACGCAGGAGGACATCGAGGCACTCAAAAAGTACTGTACACACGACACTACACACAAACACCGAGCCAGCCGTCCATCCATCCAGCTGTGCCCCCTTCACGTCACGCTGTGTGCTGCAGGGATTTCGATGCGCGTGTGTGCAAGTTGGTCAACACGCTGTCGGACCACTTCAGGCGTGCGGACCGCCAGAGCCTGGACGAGTCGTCCATCCGTGAGGCGGTGGAGCGGCTGCAGTTCTATTACCGCATCAAGGAAGAACTGCAGCAGTGGAAACCAAAGTAGATAGAAAAGATGGATAAAGTGAGATCAGATCCATGGAGGGGCTGGCCTGGCAGGGGAAAATGGGGGGTTCCCAGCTGCGAGGGCCATGTTGGGTTGGCTGGTTTCTTTGTGTTTGACGTTTTGCACTGCGTCGGTGTCGATAGGACCTGGTGCGATCGATGAGATAGATGGACTGTGTGTGTATAGTGAGTTTGCTGAAAGGCCAATTGACTGACTGGGATCCTGCTCGCAGGCACGGCCGGCCAGGTTTTGCGAGCCTGCCTGACCCAAAATTGCTCGAGGAAGCAGAGGACGTCAATTGCAGAGTGCCCCGCTTCCCACCCGCAAACGGCTGAAAAGGATGGCTGCGTCTGGCGGAATGGGTCTGTTGCCTCCCGACATTGAGCGCCTCGTGGCGGTCATCACGTTTTATATGGTGGTGTCCCTCTCCATCGTCTTCCTCAACTTCTCTATCTTCACTAAGGCAAGGCAAAGCGCGGCGCACAAAGCATCAACAGCTCACAAAACACAGCCGATGTTTGTGTTGCTGTGGCTGCGGCTGTGCAGGTGGTGACGCTGCCCGTGTTCGTCTCATGGTGCGTGAGATACAAGATGACGCAACGCAACACGGCACATAGATGCTGCTGTTTGCTTGTCTGTGTGTGTGTGGTTGCCTGCAGGTTCCAGATGTGAGTGACCACTCGCACTCCCAGGCTGCTCGATTGCCTTTCACACGTGTGGCTCTCTGTCGATTTGTCTGTCTATCTAAATCTCAGGGTGGTGTCCTTTGCCCTGACGAATGTGTTCGGTCGTCTGGGTCAGCGGTACGAGTCGCTGTCCTTCTGGCCGCCGTACTCGTTCAACTGGAACACCGCCACCACCATCCTCCCTTTGACCCTCAGCTACGTCGGCATGATTACCATGAACAACGTCTGCCTCAAATACGTCGCCGTCTCGACCTACCAAGTCGCAAGAAGCTCTACCATACTGTAAGAGAGAGAGGGAGGGGGGCAACACTCAAGAGGATCTCTTTGTGTGACGGCTCGTGTGTGGTGTGTGGTGTGTGGCGTGTCAGGTTCAATTTGCTATTGTCGCGTTATCTGCTGCACGCCGAGATTTCAGTACAGGCGGTGTATGCGTGTGTGGTGGTGTGCCTGGGCATCGTCGCCGGCGCTCTCGACCCGAAATCGCTCACTCTCTTGGGGCTGCTCACAGGTAAATGATGACCTGCCCATAGATGGATGGATGGATTGATGGTGTGTGAATATGTGCAGGGACGGTTGGGTCACTATTCTGGGCCCTGTATTCGGTGAATGTCAAGAAGTATCTGGCGTTGGTGGACGGGAACCAATTTGTGCTGCTCAACTACAACCTGACGTGGTCGTGCATCCTCTTCCTCCCACTCATATTCCTCTTCCAGGAGCACACGGGGGTCGTAGACATACCTACCGACCCGACAGACGAGTCCTTCTACCAGGTACAGGACGAAAGACACTACACAGGGGAGCGCTCTGGGTGTGTGTGTGACGGTTCTTGTGCAGGTGTGGGGTGCGATGGTGCTGTCTGGGGTGTTTGGGTTCATGATGAACATCGCGGTCTTCCTGGTCATCAAGGCCACTTCGCCGCTCACCTTCAACATCATCGGCACGGTTAAGGCTACCATACAGAGTCTGGGCGGCTTCCTCATCTTCGGCGATGAGACCAACCTGCAAAACATCACTGGTACGGCACGCACCCTCCCAACCACCAGTCCACACACAATCGTCCGTCGTGTGTCGTGTGTGCAGGCATTGCGTTATGTCTGGTTGGCTCATTCTGGTACGGCAAGGCGAAACAGGCCCAGGCCCAGCAGGAGAGAGAGCGGCTGCCCACCACCACGACAGACGCCGAGAAGAAGGGGCTGGTGATGGGCGAGAAGGACGGCAAGGAGATGGTGATCGGCCGGCCGAGTGACGAGGACAATAGCAGCAGCGTGTCGACTCACGTGTCGTCCTCCGACAGCCCACACAAGCACCAACACCACTACACGACCGTCGTAGGTGGCACCAGCAAGAAAACAGGTCCCACACACACACGGCGGGATGGCCTGGCCTGTGTGTGTCTCTGCCTGTGCGTAACCCTCTCTCTGTCCGTACGTGTGTCTGATGCAGTCGGCTCGGTGAACCCAATGTCTGACAGCGATGAGGACGAGGCCGCCGATGGCGACTTAGATGATCCTGACGTCAGAAAGATGAAGAGCCTGCTGGGCGGGAGGGCATAGTGGGGCGTGTGTCGGTCGTTGGGTGACGACAAGACGAGCGACCGCATGGATGGATGGATGGATGGGCAAACGTTTATAGTTTTTCCGTCGTCTTCTCCGTATGTGTGAGGGAGGGAGCCCTCTTCGGTGTGAATTCACCCGTACGTGTGTGGTGTGGTCATCCATACATGTGTGAATGGATACATACACTCATTCATTCATTAATTCATGCGGGCGGCGGACAGACAGACACGCAAGAATTAAGGGAAAGGGCTGCGGTGTTTTTTTGGTATACGTACGTTCGTGTGTAATTACCATGATAGTACGGAGCTGCAGAGGCGGGGCGGGGTGGGTGAATGATGAGGTGTTGCCAGCCAGCCAACCACAGCCAGCCAGCGTTTATTCGTTCTCCGCTTCGATGCGATGAGTCCATGACTTGAGAGGGTGTCACTCATGACCTGCATAAATATGTATCGGAAAACTATGTAAGTGGACGTGCTGGCGACCTGCCTTGCAGGTCGTCCCCCATGGCTGGCGCAGCGTCTCTTGGAAGCGACGCAGTGTCTGTCAAGGATGACAACCAGCAAGGCAGGTGACCGCACATTCAACAAACACGCACCAGGACCTCACGTGTCTTGTGTCTCTCTGAATCAGCAATACTCCCTTGCCCACCCCTACTACACACCGACCGTACAGATCACACACACACACACGCAACACAACACAACACAGCCGCCACAGAAAAAGCCCCCACACATTCACCCACACATCGGGTGGCCACCACGTCCGCCACTGCTACCGCTACGGCATCCCATCATATGTCACACTCGTCCGACAGCACACTGACGGGTGTGCCTGGCTGGAAGAACCAACTGCACGGCCGGTTGGGCGTCTGGTAGTTGGGCGAGTTCTTGGCGTCATCATCACTGTCGTCATGGCCCTCAATCGGATCGTCCTCGGCTGCTGCTGCTGCACAATCCACACACATACACAGGACAGCAGATGCCGATGTATTTTTAGAATCAGCGAGGCTGCGACTCACCCACCCTCCTGTTGCTTCGCCATCTCATCGGCCGTGCTCGGTGGCTCCATCTTAATATCCTCCTCCTCTCCCTGACCGCCGGCGTCTTGTTCACCACAATCGTCGCCTCCCGTGCCCTTGCCGGCGTCGGTCTCTGCCCTGGGTGGCGTCACAAGTGGGGGTGACAGGCTCTGTGCCGCGTGCCGCGTGGCCTGAGCCCAATGGTTGGCGATGGGCGGGTCGGGGGGGTCGCCCGGGGCTGGGTGGGGGACGTACAGGGGCAGGGCGGGAGAAGGCTACAGGCAGACAGGCAGGCAGAGGGAGAGAGAGAGGGAGTGCACCACTGTGTCTTGTTGTCGTCTTGTCGTTTACATGTTGATGTGTGACTATGCCGTAGATGAGAGTGAAGGGGCTCATCAACGAATGAACTGAACACACACCATCGGATGCATGCTCACCTTCCTGTCTCTCTGCATGTGCGCTGCTTTTTCCTTACCTCCTCTTGCGAGAAGCGACGAAGCAGCACCTGTCAGCTGCCGCAAATCTGACACCCACACACCCACACAGGATACCACAGGACTCCATGGATGCTGGAAGGCACTCCAGCGGTGCCGTGTGTCTCTCACGTACATCTAGCGACCCACTTGCCGACTCCACCCGCCCTCCTGGCCTCCCCCATGCCCGTCGGCATCTCCTCATCCGCACTCGTCCCCTCGCTCTCTATGTCGATGTCCGTCTGCGTCTCGGTCGCTTTCAGCACCGGCCGCCGGGGAGGCTCCACCGGCACTGGCGGATCTCCAGCACTCTCACTACTCTCGCCCACCGCTTGCGCGCCCACCGGTGGCTCTGGAGGCGGCTCCTTGCTATCATGGGCTGTCGGCGCTTTGGCTTCTGATTGTGTGTCTGCGTGTGGTGTCACGGGTGGGAGGGAGACGGGCGGGGAGTGCGGCATGGGCGGGCTGGTGTGCTCGGGCGAGTGGGGGACGTTGGCGTCATCGGGGAGAGAGGAGGGCGACGCCTCGGTGGATGGAGGCGCGTGGTAGTCCCAGATGGCGGCTCGGGTACTGAACGAGAGAATGAATGAGCCGAACACATGGGTAGAGAGATTTGGTGTGGTGTGTGAGTGGTATGCTTACGTCTCATTGTATACGTAGCTCCTCGACTCGCCATCCTCAGTGGTCTCGACAATCTCGCGCCACTCGCCTTCATCGAATGAGGTCGACGGCTTGGTCACGTACGTCTTGCCCTGGGGGACACAAAAAGATTCGCAACAGCAACAAAAGGCCACGCTCATATCAAGAATAAGGCGGTCTTGAGCTGTTTCAGTGGCCTGCCCACCCCGCTATTGATCCAAAACACGTTTCCCTTCTTGTCTGCATCGACACACACACACACACGCCATCAGAGCGCATTCATGGGTCTCAGGTGTTCCATGCCCATCTGATCTGATCTGATTCACCGTAGCATTCCGAGAACTGCTCTCCCGGTCTTGTCCACGAGGCCTTGTCCTGTGATGGGTTGAGATAATACGGCCGGCCCTCCTCATCATAACATCTGATCCACGTGTCCTCGGAAAACATCCAAACACTGCTTCTTGCTCCACTTCACAGCGACGCGGGGAGATCACAAGGCGTCTGCCAAAGTCTGCATCGAAGGGTTTGGGTTGCAGGGTTTGTCTGCCTGCATGGGGGGAAACTGTCATTAACCGTAACACTCGTCTGTGTGTCCGTGATACTCATACAAATACAGTCCCATCAGCACGCAGACTCAAACAGGCTCAAGGGGAGGAGGGATCAATCCCCGCCCCATCAGCACACCCCAGTCCCGCAAACCCTCCCCTCCCTCCCCCACGCAGACAGAAGCTAGTCGCACGCGCGAGGGCGAT